CCACCTCCCGCCCACCTCCCCGCCCACCTCCCGCCCACTCACCTCGCTCCCGGCTCCGCACGCAGGTCATCGCCTCGGTGTGCGCCCAGCTCGCGTCGGGCTCGAACGGCATCTGCGGCATCATGCTCGAGTCGAACCTCGAGGAGGGCGCGCAAAAGGCGCCCAACGGCCGCGAGGGCCTCAAGCGCGGTGTCAGCATCACCGACGCGTGCGTCAGCTGGGAGGTCACCAAGGGCTTGTTGAGGGACCTTAACCAGGTGCGTTCGGGCTCGCGCGCTCTCTCTCTCTCCCTCTTTTCTCTCTCTCGTCCTCGAGCGTCGGTGGGTGCAGCTACGGGGCGCACGCGTACTGACGTCTCTCGGGTCGACTCGCAGGCCGTCGACGCCCGGAGGGAGCACAACTGAAGCGAGCGGCTGCAGGAGCAGGACCGGCGTCGAGCGAGGCGTGCATGCAAAAGTACATAGACGTCCTCTCTGACTTGTTCGCCTTTGAGAGTGACTGGCTCTGCTCAAGAGCGACGAGAGGGAGAGAGATCCTCGAGTGCGGCGTGGTTGTCGGCGTGGGAGCGTGCGGCGAGCGAGAAGGGCGAGCGAGGAGGGCTAGCAGTTGAGAGCGAGGATTGCTCGAGCGGCTTGACTGCCGTTCTCTCTCCTTGTCGACGGGCAGAGGAGGCTTGCTGGGGGGCTGTCCGTGTCGCTCGGCTGGCCCTGTGCGAGTCGTGGAGAGGAAGAAGCGCACGAGCCTCTCGATGCTTCCTCCGCTCGCTCGTTGGCGGTTTGCTCCTCGCCTTGCCCGCTTCAGGGCGTTGCTAGATCAGCCAGTCGCACTCTTTCGCGTCGTGTGCATCTGGGTGGCGAGCGACAGGGCAGCGAAAGCACGAGCGCGAGCGCTCGAGCCTCCCTCAGCCTCTTCTCGCCGCCGGTTCGGCGCATAGCGACCCGCTCGTTCCTCTGCGGCGCAGAGGCAGTTCCGCGTGGCCATGCCGAGGCTGTCGGCCAACCTGCGCGGGCGCAGCGAGAACCAGGGAGCACGCGAACGCGGGCACGGACCTCTCGACTGCGGCTACTTCTTCTCGTCGCTTCCGCGCAAAAGAGCCGATTCGGACGCACAGGGAGCAAAAGGTAGTGCCCCGAAGCAGGATCGAACTGCTGACCTCGGGATGGCAAGCGCAAGGCGCTCTCGGTCGAATCAAATCTCTGATATGAGACCCACGTGATAACCAACTACACCATCGGGGCACTTGGTGAAAGCACGCGGACGACCATGCGCATACATTGCGTTTGACCCTTTGCAGCTTTCAGCGCTTGTAGATCCTTCGCCGTCAGCCGGTGCGGTCCGCCGCAGGGTGCGCTATGTTTCCCTCGCTGCGTGCTCTTCCGCGCCACTGCTCGCTCTTGTCGAATGCTCGACGTGCGACGCACGCACAATCTGCTCGCAGCGCACCGCACGTCGTCCTGTACAGTGCCGGTCTCAGCTCGACGTGCGACGCACGCACAATCTGCTCGCAGCGCACCGCACGTCGTCCTGTACAGTGCCGGTCTCAGCTCGACGTGCGACGCACGCACAATCTGCTCGCAGCGCACCGCACGTCGTCCTGTACAGTGCCGGTCTCAGCTCGCCGCGTTCGGGCCGCGTCCGCCGTCTTGCCGCGCCCGTTCGCGCGTCCTGCCCTCCTCTGTCCAGTTGCCGCGATCTGCCTTGACATCCGCGACTGCTGTAGAAGCAGAAGGAAAGCGCGCTGCAGTCTTGAGCGGTGCGAGCGCTCGAGAGCCCTGCTTCGCCGCACTCGCGCTCCTCAAGCGGGAGGAGCTTGCGTTCTCTTCCTGCGTTGGGCCAGACAGGAGCTTGACCGACCGCCCGCGAGTCTCCAAAGCTACCCTGGTGCACCGTAAAGGCCGAGCAAGGTGTCAAGAGAGTCGCACCTTGTCCCGCGCGACACTCGCCGCCGCCTCTTGCCTCTGGCCACCTTGCCTCTCACACGCCTGCTGCCGTGCGAGTGCTCGCTATACATCGCCGAGGCATCGTCATGGCCACTGCACCCTTCATCGTCGCGGCAGCAGCTCTCACGGACCCGCATGACGTCTTCATCAGCTCGGCGGCCAGCTCCCTCTTCCACCTCTACCACGACGGCATTGGGTCCCTGTTCGCGGGCAAGGAACTGTCTATCGTCATCGTCATGGTCCATACGCCGTGGTGCAGCATCATCTACGTCCATCTGGTTCATCTCGCGCTCGTCGTAATCGAGGTCCGACTCGCTCTCCGAGGTCAAAGGTGGGCGGGCGCTGCAGGCGCAGGTGGGGGACCCAGGCAACTGGCGAGGCAGCTAACCTACCCTCCCCCACCACCCGCAACAACCCCGAGCACCGCCAACCGATCACGAGCACAACCCACCTCGACGAGGTGCCACGATCCTGCTCAGGAGGGGGAACCTATCGCCGATTTTTCGATTTTCACACAAAACTACTCGTACGGCTTTCGCAGTTCGCCTCGTACCAGCGTCAGATTGAGGCGACGCTTCCTTGCCAAGATACGGCCACCTCGCCGCCGGCCGCCCTTTCTGGCCAACAGCAGGCGCAAGCTCGTTCCTGCTTGCTCAGCTTTACGCTCAAGGATCGCTCTCTGACCCGGTGGCGGGCGCGCCCTTGCCGCAAGGGCAATCTAAGCCCTTGAGCGCCGGCGAGGGCCTGCTCCTCCGCTTGTCGGCGCGGGATCCGGGATCGCACTGCTCCCTTGGCTACTAGGACAGCCCGTCACCGACGCAGCCGCTCCCGGACCCTCCCTTGAGGTCTGAGGAGGACATCAATACGGGCTCCTGCTTGTTCTTGTTGAAGCAATGACATGATTAGCGAGCCGGTCTCTTGTCAACCTGGCTGCGAGAACGCAACTGCAGCTCGAGTGCGTTGCAGGGAGATGCTCTCCCGTGCGAGCGGCGTTGACAGCGTCCCTCTCGTCTTGCGTCAAGCGCAATATTGATTGATCAACGTCGTGGCCGAACCAGAGGGAAGCGTCGGGCGCCTGCGTGCGCTGCAAGGGGCCAGAGAGCGCAAACCTCTGCGCGGAAAGAGAAGCTTGTGTTGGCCACAAAAGCGGTTCTTCTTGCGTGGGACGCACCTCAGAGTGTCAGAGAAGTACTTCAGAGTGTCGAGAGGCTCTCTGCTGCACCACAAGGGCTGAGTGAGGCGTCGCGGAGCAAGCCGCCAGCCGTGACGCAGTCGGATTGGGCTGCCCTTGCGGGGCAGAATAGAGCAAGATGCCCTCTAAATGGTTAGCTAGGGTAGAGGTTGAGTAGAGCTTGTGGCCCAGTTCTGCAGAGGCGAACCTGTTCCGGGCAAGCCTGACCGTCTCGGACCCAACCCGTCCGCGCGCACAGCTCCACGAGGAACAGGGCTACCGGCCTACTGCTTGGCACAGGGACCATACAATAGTATACCTTGATGGCAATGGAGCCAGGTTTGGGCCAGTGCATTGGTAGCATCATCAGCCAAACCAAGCCTCTTGGCCCCCCTCGGACCCAACCCGTCTGCGCGCACAGGTCCATGGGGAACAGGGCTACTGACCTACCACTTGGCACTGGGACCATATAATAGTATACCTTGATGGTAAGGAAGCCAAATCTGTGCCAGTGCATTGGTAGCATCCTCAGCCAGACCAAGCCTCTCAGCGCCACTCGGACCCAACCCGTCTGCGCGCACAGCTGCATGAGGAACAGAGCTGCCAACCTACCGCTTGGCACAGGGACCATTTGATGGTATACATTGACGGTAATGGAGCCAGATTTACGATATTGCACCAGTAGCATGCTCAGTGGGACCATCCCCCCGAGGCTGCACCTTCTTTTTCCTTCCAGCTGGCCGTGGTGCAGTCAGATTGGGCTGCCCTTGCAGGGCAGAATAGAGTACAGGACGCCTTAAATGGTTAGCTAGGTTAGAAGCTGAACGGACATTGAGGCCCAGTTCTGCAGAGGCAGACCTGTTCCTGGCAAGCCTTAGCCTCTCGAACCCAAACCGTTTGCACGCGCAGCTCCATGAGGCAGAGGTCTCCCAGCCTACCGCTCAGCACAGGGACCATTCAATAGTATACATTGACGGTAATGGAGCCACATTTGCGATATTGCATCAGGAGCATGCTCAGTGGGACCATCCCCCCGAGCCTGCACCTTCTTTTTCCTTCCAGCTGGCCGTGGTGCAGTCAGATTGGGCTGCCCTTGCAGGGCAGAATGGAGTACGATACGCTCTAAATGGTTAGCTAGGTTAGAGGTTGAACGGACCTTGTGGCCCAGCTCTGCAGAGGCAAACCTGTTCCGGGCCAGCCCCACCCTCTCAGACCCAAACCGTTTGCGCGCGCAGCTCCATGAGGCAGATGTCTCCCAGCCTACCGCTCGGCACAGGGACCATTTAATGGTATACCTTGATGGTAATGGAGCCAGATTTGCAATATTGCATCAGTAGCATGCTCAGCGGGACCATCCCCCCAAGGCTGCACCTTCTTTTTCCTTCCAGCCGGCCGTGACGCGGTTGGATTGGGCTGCCCTTGCAGGGCAGAATGGAGTACAATACGCTCTAAATGGTTAGCGAGGTTAGAGGTTGAACGGACCTTGTGGCCCAGCTCTGCAGAGGCAAACCTGTTCCGGGCCAGCCCCACCCTCTCGGACCCAAACCGTTTGCGCGCGCAGCTCCATGAGGCAGATGTCTCCCAGCCTACCGCTCGGCACAGGGACCATTTAATGGTATACCTTGATGGTAATGGAGCCAGATTTGCAATATTGCATCAGTAGCATGCTCAGCGGGACCATCCCCCCAAGGCTGCACCTTCTTTTTCCTTCCAGCCGGCCGTGACGCGGTTGGATTGGGCTGCCCTTGCAGGGCAGAATGGAGTACAATACGCTCTAAATGGTTAGCGAGGTTAGAGGTTGAACGGACCTTGTGGCCCAGCTCTGCAGAGGCAAACCTGTTCCGGGCCAGCCCCACCCTCTCGGACCCAAACCGTTTGCGCGCGCAGCGCCATGAGGCAGATGTCTCCCAGCCTACCGCTCGGCACAGGGACCATTTAATGGTATACCTTGATGGTAATGGAGCCAGATTTGCAATATTGCATCAGTAGCATGCTCAGCGGGACCATCCCCCCGAGGCTGCACCTTCTTTTTCCTTCCAGCCGGCCGTGACACGGTCAGAATGGGCTGCCCTTGCAGGGCAGGATAGAGTACGATACGATCTAAATGGTTAGCTAGGTTAGAGGTTGCACGGACCTTGTGGCCCAGCTCTGCAGAGGCAAACCTGTTCCGGGCCAGCCCCACCCTCTCGGACCCAAACCGTTTGCGCGCGCAGCTCCATGAGGCAGATGTCTCCCAGCCTACCGCTCGGCACAGGGACCATTTAATGGTATACCTTGATGGTAATGGAGCCAGATTTGCAACATTGCATCAGTAGCATGCTCAGCGGGACCATCCCCCCGAGGCCGCACCTTCTTTTTCCTTCCAGCCGGCCGTGACGCGGTTGGATTGGGCTGCCCTTGCAGGGCAGGATAGAGTACGATACGCTCTAATTGGTTAGCTAGGTTAGAGGTTGAACGGACCTTGTGGCCCAGCTCTGCAGAGGCAAACCTGTTCCGGGCCAGCCCCACCCTCTCGGACCCAAACCGTTTGCGCGCGCAGCTCCATGAGGCAGATGTCTCCCAGCCTACCGCTCGGCACAGGGACCATTTAATGGTATACCTTGATGGTAATGGAGCCAGATTTGCAATATTGCATCAGTAGCATGCTCAGCGGGACCATCCCCCCGAGGCTGCACCTTCTTTTTCCTTCCAGCCGGCCGTGACGCGGTCGGATTGGGCTGCCCTTGCAGGGCAGAATGGAGTACAATACGCTCTAAATGGTTAGCTAGGTTAGAGGTTGAACGGACCTTGTGGCCCAGCTCTGCAGAGGCAAACCTGTTCCGGGCCAGCCCCACCCTCTCAGACCCAAACCGTTTGCGCGCGCAGCTCCATGAGGCAGATGTCTCCCAGCCTACCGCTCAGCACAGGGACCATTTAATGGTATACCTTGATGGTAATGGAGCCAGATTTGCAATATTGCATCAGTAGCATGCTCAGCGGGACCATCCCCCCGAGGCTGCACCTTCTTTTTCCTTCCAGCCGGCCGTGACACGGTCAGAATGGGCTGCCCTTGCAGGGCAGGATAGAGTACGATACGCTCTAAATGGTTAGCTAGGTTAGAGGTTGAACGGACCTTGTGGCCCAGCTC